CGCCGGAGTAGGTCGGAATTTTTTTCGGAATTTTTCGAAGTTCGGAACCGGGAGAAAAAATATGTAAAGTGAATAATGAATGTATTTTTTTTTTATTAAAAAGGGCAAAAACGACTTTTAGGGGGGCGGTAATAATCGAAAAGGGGGGCGGCAAAAATCAACACCCAATAAATAAGGGTGTTATGGTAATTAGTATTAATAAAAAACTCATTCATTATGCCTGGGCCCCACCACCACTACCAAACTTCCCCCTCTCTCACATATACAATCGTTAAATAATGTCCACCTGCAACCTTCATTTGCAGGCAATCAACCGTCGCCTGATGCCGATTGCCGCCACCAGCTACAGCCCACCGCTACTTGCCGCCGAAAATACCGTTCGTCGTACCAGCCCGCCGCCACACAAACCGGTTTCCCTCCGACGTCGTCAAAAGCGTCTCCTCCGCCTGTAAGCTTCGACGACCTCCGGGCAGACATCAAAGATGATAATTACCGCCACGTTAAAAATTGGTCGACGAACGGCGAAGATTCCGGCGCGTTCGACGGCTGAATAAAAACCGGCTTGAGGCTGCCGCTCGAAGGTGGTGTTCTTCCATATTCAGCCACAAAAGCTTGATGAAATGCTCTGGGACGTGTTGAGAATGACAGGAGATGGAATTGTACAGACTCTGTAATTTTTGGGGCTTGCATTTGAAAATTGGATAAGTCCCAAGGAGTTTTCTGCAAATTATGGAAAAATCAATACTATTACAATTCAGTATAAGGTTCCAATTTGTAGTTTATTAAAAATATAAAAATATATAATAAATATATTAGAGGCAAAATAATGATAGAAAAAGTGCACAATAGTATATGAGAAATGCACATTAAAATATTCGTTTTATTTTTTATGAACTTTTGTCCCAAATCAAATTGAAAATAAACATAATTAATTGGTTTAGTCGATTCGGTTAATCGAATCATCCAAAATAATCAAAATAATTTATTACTTATGTTAAAATTATATTTAATTTAGTAATAATACTATTTATTATTTTTAAATTACCTTTGTTGAAACAATGTGTGTTCGGTCGGTTTTGATGTCTATTGTGCAATCGGACAGTCGTGATAAAGTGCAACATGTTGTCCTGTATAGTGCAATGTGTTGTTTTATAAAGTGCAACGTGCTGATGTATAAAGTGAACTATCGTAATTTTTGTATGTTAGCATGTTTGTGTTTTGTGTAGATAAATGATGTGATTAATGTTAAAATATTATTTATATTAGTTTTTTAGATTACGTTGTGTGGTATTTTGACGGGAGCGCAAAATACGTTAGTTGTTGAGTGCGCTGATAAGGTGCAACTTGTTGTTTTATAATGTGCAACGTATTGTGTTATAAACTGCAGAGGACATTAGTTGTTGGCTGCAGTGATATGGTGCAACTTGATGTTTTATAAAGTGCAACATATTGTTTTATAAAGTGCAACATATGGTTTTATAAAGTGCAACTTGTTGATATATAAAGTGCACCACTTTATATAATCACATATAAATTATGTGCTTTTGAAAACTAAATTCAGTAGATATAATTGCACATCACATATAAATTATGTACTTTTGAAAACTAAATTTAGTAGATATAATTGCACATCGAATAACTTAAATAATTGAAATAATTTGTTATTTATTATCAAAAAATTATATGTATTATTTTTATAATTTTTATATTATAAAAATAATTTGTTATTTGTTATTCTAAAAGGTCTAATTTATTATTGATTATTATAAAATATTATATAAGAATAATTTATTATTTATTATTGTAATAGAATAATATATTATTTATTATCATAACTTTTTATATTTTTATAATATTAAAAATGTCAATTACACCATAATTACTAAATAAAAAAAATACATAACTCAAATTGCAGGTCTTTTGCTTGGAATGAAAAAAGCTTTGCAGGTCTCATTTGTAAGTGTTTCAGACACCCCGTCAAGGTCACCGCTTCCGGCAGCGGGGCGGAATACGGCGGATACGTGCGGTTGCGGTCGGCGGTCTAGTGTAGTGCCGGCGGAATTCAGGACGACAGCGAGACGAACGGTGGCTTACCGGAGCTCACCATTTCCGGCGGCGGGGCGGCATACGGCGGACATGCAACTGAGGATGAGATGACGGTAGTGGCGGAGGGATTTAGACGGTGGACATGAGTAGCGCCGTTGATGAGTGGTCCTTAAGACATGTCAGACGAAGTGACGGTCGTCGAGTTCCTGGTGCGGCTCCACCTCGCGACACCGTCTCTGGTCAAGCAAGTTTAGCGTCGGTTTAGCGGCGGCGCCGGCAGTCGACGGCGACGGACGGTAGTGATTGGACATGGAAGAAGACGGTGCATCGGGGTCCAATGAATAATTACGCCGGCGGTCGGAGAAGCAATCTGACAGACATAGATTTTGGGAGAGAGAAAATGTCGTGAGGGAGAGAGAGAAATTGTGGGGATGTGATTTTGGGTGGGACCCACTGCTATATTATGGTTGGTGATTGATGTTAGTTGGCAGATAAATTAATAGGAATTAGGCCCACTTATTGTTGTGTATTGTGGAAAATTACTGCAATGCCCTTAATGAAGGTAT